TTGCTGTGCTCTTATTTGGTGAAACTCGTGTTGCAATTCTGCTTCTGGTTCGAGGTCACGACTATCTGGTTTCATGTGTATGATGCTGCTTGGTTTTCGGAGTTCGCTATCGCGCATTTTCCTTGCAATTTGGTATCGGAGCTGTGGTACGGTGCGCTAATCTGGCGCTTGTCTTCTGCCTATGCGGTACATGTATGCGGTCTGCTGGGTGAGCGGCCGTAGAGAGTTTGTAGTGAGGAGGGTGAAGGCAAGCAGGCGACCCAGGTGGAGAGGGGTGCAATGACTTGCTGTTTTCTGGTCGCCTGTAGCCTCTCTCTGTCGAGGCTGTACTATAGGTAGGACAGATTCGCAATTTTGTTTGGCTGAGGGCTAACCGAGAGACCTACCTGTGAGGGAAATTCGTGAGGGACATATCTGCAAATTCGGGAAATATGCAGGCCCGGTAATAACAGAATTCCCTACAGCTACCCTAACTGCGAATAGCAGGCCCGGGCTACCCCTAGGACAGACAGGCCCTAAGGGCCTATTCGGATAGACGGTCCTATAGCCTATAGCCGGGTCCGGTAGAGGCCGAGAGGCCAAAACAGAAACGGTACCGGTCAGTCAGTCAGTCCGGTCTAGGTCGAGTCTAGGCTAGTGAAGTCTATGGATAGGATGGGCACATCGGTTCAGGGCTTTTGGCAGTTGGTACCGAGTACATCGCTGCTGCGCTACGCGTGAACCGGAAGTGGTGACGGCTCAGCGTGGAAGGAGACAGGCATAGCCAGACCTTCGGAGCGCCGACCATAGCTGGGACCCGTGCTGTACTCTGCCAGCACGCAGGGGCTGACAGAGGTCTGGCCTATTGAGGTCTCCTGGAGGCGAGAGAGATTGGTGCCCTGCTGGACCCTCCTCCGGAGTGGGGTTCCAGGGTGATTGTGCTGCAGCCATACCTGCAGCTTCTTCCTCAGAGGTCATCTTGTCAGGGTTTGGTGGCGCTGCTGCAGACTTCCACCCGGGAAGTCTTCCGACACTTCGTCATCATCAGATATTGTGGCGTTGGTCTTCTTCTTCATCCTTTGAGTGGAGCTTGGCCTCAAAGGCCTGGTTCAGGGTGGCGCTCCCCTCAGGAGGCTGTATCTGGGTGGCGCCTGATGTTTCAGGGGCTCAGGGGTGCTACGAGTGCTAATCAGGGTTGGGGAGTAAAGCGCTGCTCATTCCTGAGCAGCGCACTGTAGTTCTGAAGTTATCCTGACAATTCGAGACTCTGAGTTTAATAAACAGTGTGTAACTGGGTTTTGCCTATCATAGTTTCATTGTTTCCTGGATGTTTATGACTGGTTGTGAGGATTGAGTGGAGTGAATTGCACTTTCAGTGTACCCTGTCATATCGCATGGTCAAGTCTTCCGATGTGTTATCTCTCCCTGTGCGGTGTGATACTCCTATCCTCTCCCCTTCCTTCTGTGTATGTATGGGCATACTTGGAAGTCTATGTGAGTGAGTGTTGGTCATCAGACAACAAACAACCAGAATCATAACAGGGGTATCGCCAGGAAGGCTACGTGGTGATTATTGGGTGTTCGCAGTGTGATGAGAACTATCTGATGAACGATTGATGCTGAAGTGGAACGGCGGGATAATGCTGGTTGTGCCGAAGGAGGGATTGGTCATCACAATTGACATCAGGTCATCTGGTGAGAATATTTGTGGTTGGGGGCAGCTATTTTGAGCTACGTTGCTCTTAACCTTATCTACCCTCTTCAACACTTCTTACCATGAGGATGTGTGTTCTGTCTTGAGAGTCCTCTCATGTGAGGAGTCAAGTGCGCTCAACCTTGAGAGTCGACATTGTTCACGTGGAGCATCTGGAAGGAGAGGGTGGAGCTATCTGAAGGGCCCTGGACGAAGCACTGGGTCACGGTCACCATGCCAACCCACCGGGAGTAGAGCACGCATGCTTTGCTGCTTTGTCCTTTGTCTGCCTGCTGCGCTGATAGATGGGTTATGAGGGGCAGGCCAGCCCTACAGGGGAGACAAGTATCGGGCGTCTATAAATAAGTACCGGCGGGGTTACCTTCCATTGGTTATGATCGTCGTCCTGTCTGTGACGTTAAATAATTGTTGAGGACTTCGGGGGCCGTCCTTAAACGCCTCTTGATCAGCCAATTGGTCGGTGTAAGGCTCGCCGCACATGAAGGTAAACATTGTGCAGGGCTGGCCAACTCAGCATATACTCGGGGCACGGGGGTGGGCCGTGTGCACACCTTTAGACACGCACGCTATCCGGATGCTCAGGAACGCTGACATCAAGAGACAATCAAGAAGAACTGAGGGAGGGGTAGGTTCCAGGTGATCAATTCGGGAAAGATTCCACTCTGCAAACAGCCATGCAAACAGTTCTATTTTTATTTTGATTAGTTAGGATGTACAACCATTGACATCTGACAGACAACAATAGGTAGAGATCTGCTTTCTGTTCGTGGACTAATTAATTAAAAATAGTTTCGTTTGTAGGAATCTGGACTTACCTGTTGGACCCGAATGTGTAGACTCTGACATAGTGACCGATTAATTATTTTATTTATTTTAAATCGGTTTGTGCACTATGGTGTTACATGTTGCACCTGCAACAGGCTGCACGGGCCATTTCCAGACCCATGACGTTTTCATGCCAAAAGCCTGAAAACAAGGGCCTACAGGCCTTGTGTCGTTTCAGCCTGAAAGCCTGAAAACAAGGGCCTACAGGCCCTGTGTCGTTTCAGGCTAAATCAGGGCCTTTCCGGCCCTGAGTGTTTTCAGCCTGAAACTGAGGGCCATTTCCGGGACCTCATGAGTTCGGCCTGCCCCGAAACTCAGGCACCAGACCACGGTTCTTAGCTCACTATTTTCAAGACAACCTTTGTTTGAGCTTCAACCTCAGGGTCTGGCACGTTGAGGCATTGGCAAGAGCAGCCTCCTGGACGGGCCAGCACTATATAGGACTGGCCCGCCCTGCAGGCCGGTAGGTAGTTCCTAAGTACTTCCCAGGCACTTCACGAGCAGTTCAGGAGGCAGGAGGTAGTCTTCAGGATTCGGCAGCAGCACTCTGGAGGAGCGCTGCAGGAGTAGTATTAGCGCTAGCAGTAGTCTTCAGCGCTGGGCGCTAGCAGTAGTCTTCAGCGCTGGGCGCTTTGTAGCGTTAGCAGTAGTCTTCAGCGCTGAGCGCCATAGCTAGAGTAGTACCATAGAGAGAGAGATTGGGCGGAGGCCAGAGGGGCTTACCTGGAGCGCCATCGCTCCAGCTTCGTCTTCAAGGTACCTGCAGCACAGCGCCACCTTCACAGGTTAGTACCTGGCATATGAGAGAGAGAGAGTTCTTCTTCTTCCTCTTCTCAGTCAACCATCTCCCTCTCACCCTCTCGATATCTGACTTCACTGCATCAGCAGACTATGAGAGAGAGAGAGAGAGAGAGAGAGAGAGAGAGAGAGAGAGAGAGANCTCTCACCCTCTCGATATCTGACTTCACTGCATCAGCAGACTATGAGAGAGAGAGAGAGAGAGAGAGAGAGAGAGAGAGAGAGAGAGAGAGAGAGAGAGAGAGAGAGAGAGAGCTTGGTGACATTTGGATCCAGACTCGACATTGGACTTCAGACATTTTGACGAGGGATTAGTTGGGACTTGTAATGAGATTTGGTGTTGACAACTTTCCCATCTCTCCCCTCCTCTTCGTTTGATCCCCTCCTCTTCGCCTGTGCATGGCTGGACCTGGCGCCTCTTCCTGTGTATAGCGTCGGGCCCCCTTCACACCTGGTGGTGAAAATAATGTATGTTTAGTCTGCATTGCGACATTGATTGGGCTCGTCATTAGTATTCTAGCCTTCTGCTTCGCTATCTTGTACTATGTAAAAGAGGTCAGTCCCGGTCAGGTCAGGACTTGTATCTAAGTCTTCCACTGCGCTGTAAAGCACCATTTTGTATGTATCAGAGTGTACACTGCTCGTTGAGATTTCACTTGCACTGCATTGTCCATTCAGTCCTTTTCATCACATTGCGGATCCTTGGTTATTATGTACATCGCCCAACTGGGCATGTAACAGTTGGTATCGGAACACCGCACGTGAATCAGGACAACCTGATATGACACGTGTGCGAAAATCAAAATTTTTTTCTTTTCTTGGATTTTGTTTTCTCACTATTTCTGTTGTGGAAAATCGCAATAGCGCAATATCTGAAATTTTCGATTTCGTTTTTCTTCTGAAAATTCAAAATTTCGTTGTTGAAAGTCCGGAATATCTTCTTTTTCAAAAATTTCGATTTCCTTTTGCAATTTCCCATTATTTGGAAATCCGGAATATTTTTATTCCGAAATCCGTTTTTTTGAAAACGGTACGGGAATCCCTCTTGCAGTTATCAGTCTCCAACTGCGCGTACTCTCATCTGAGTAATTCCGAAAAGAAATTTTGTGTACTTCATTTTTGGAATTCTTTTATCAAAAAATCATTTGCGGTCTGAAAGTTCAAAATTTTTCTCATGGATAATTTCGCACTTCAGGGGACTTGGGAGGCCTACCGAACTTGCAAACGAGTATTTTTTTCTTTTTCTCGATTTTTTTTGGCAAAGTTCAAACTTTTCTTTTTTGATTAGTGGCTCCTTATCTGGCGATTTATCCCACCCCTCCCCACCTAAGTTGTTGCCCCCTCTGGTCTTCTCTATCTCCCTCCGGGTACCCCCTGCGGCGCCATTGGTGAGTTGCCACGTCAGCAGGCCACGTCAGCAGGACACGGCAGCAGTGCCACGTCAGCAACCAATCACCGCAGCAGCAGGTCACGTCAGTGCATGGTGCTCACCCGCTCAAAGACAAGCGGCATGGATCAGCAGCCAGGCGAGACTACCGAGGCCTATGAGGCCCGCATGCTGGACATGGTAGCAGAATTCAAGCAACGGGCAGCTGCGGCAACATCCACACTTAAGAAGGAAGATGAGGAAGCAGAGGAACAACGTCGCCTCGGTGAACAGCAGCGACAGGCGGACGCTGAGGCAGCAAGGAAGGCCGCAGACGAACGCCGTCGACTACGTCGAGACAAACTCCTCGAATGCGAGGGGATATCGAGGTGATCGCCGACGAATGTGCAGTGGCTGCTGAAGAGGAGGGTGCCCCCTCTGTTGTGCGTGGCCTTGCAACCACAATCGAACATGTGAGCGACTTGGTCGCCACCTGTGCAGCACAGCAAGAGGACATCCTCTGCATGGACACCCTGGTCCGGAAGCAGATTCAAATTATTGATGAACTGCTTGACCGGGTACGTCGGCTGGAACAGCAACTTGCAACAGCCACCCCCGTCGGACCCTCCAACTTGACGGACCGCGTCAACGTCTTGGAAATCGACGTCGAGACGCTCAAGGACGGCACTCTAGCGACAAATCAGCGGATTGACCAGCAGATTTGTGCCGCCGCAGCTAGTCCGACCACGACTACTCCCGAGACCATCCCAAAGTTTGACGGACTACCGATCTTCTGCGATGCAACGAAGACTAACCCGAACCTATGGTGGCGGCAGTTCGAGTTGAAGTTGGACATTCACCACGTCATCAACCCGAACCGGCACGCATACTTATACTCCCGCTCAGGGGGCGTGTGCCAGGCATGGCTGGACAACATGTTGTCCACGCACAATGTCACAGTCTCCGAGCTGCATACGAAGATCAGTTGGGCTGATCTCAAGGCAACATGGCATAAGCAGCTCCAAGTGGAGCTGCCCGAGCTTCAGGAAGCCGAGAAACTTCAACGGTTCTATCAAAACGACCTGCCAAGCACGGACTGGATCACCGAGTACCAACGCTTGGCATCCACGCCCAACTTGCCGTTGACATTTGTCGCTATCAAGCACCTTCTTCATCAGGAGGAGCTGCCCGGCGTTGCAGAACGCCTTGACGCAAGTTGTGGAGACGCTTACCACAAGTGAGCAGCTTTTTGATAAAGCCTCGCAGATCATCGTGACGAACATCGAAGCCAAGAATTTGGGCCATTCGTCTGCTGCAGGTCAGGGCAGAGGACAGCATTGGCCGAAAGTGGCCGTGGTCGCAGCAACTACAGCGACCGACACTTCAAACGAGGCTGCCGCTTCTGACGAAGGAGACAGATTGGCAGCCGCCCGGGATGGTGGCCACTCCGCCAGAGGGCGAGGACGCGGCAAACCGAAGACACACACCAATTCGGCCCCCGGGGCCGGACCAGCGGCTCAAGAGCCTTGGACACATTACGGTACCTCGGAAGGCGTGTACCGCATCCGTACTAAGTACCGATACTGCTTGTGGTGCAACAGCGCGGTGCACGACACCGCAACGTGCCCCACGCCAGTCAAAGGCAAATTCCCTTCGGGAAAGTGAGCACCGTAGAGAGTGATGCGGCTGCACTCTCGACGCTTTCGAAATCGGTTGCTTCACGAGCAACCTCTCTTCATTCCGAGCACCATGCGGAAGTCGACAGTCCTCTCTTGTATTCTTATGAGGACTATGCTGCCTGGCTCGTTCCTTCGCTGGGTTCTCAAGCTCAATGACAAGATGTGTGTGTGGCTTCTTCTCCGTCCGGCAACAACAACAATGGATCGTCTTCAAGTGGTTCTTCAAGGGATTTGAAGCACGAGTTCAACATAGAGGTCTTGGACCAGTTGACGTCCGAGGATTTTGCATGGCTTCCTCTCCCTTCCACAGGCTGCTTGTCGGGACCACAATGCGCAGCACTATGCGCCCATCTCCACACATACTTAGCCTTCTATGCACCACCATCTTCGTCGACGGATGACGAGGTTGCGGTGGGGGACATCCTTGCGTATGTTACCAAGGTGGCCCGCGAGTTTCGCATGCAGCGGTACGATGATAACAACGCACCGCTCCTTTATTCCGCATCCAAGTTGGGCAAGCGTCCTGCAGCGCTTTGCTGGATAGCGGCGCAACTCGCAATTTCATCAGCCAGTCCTTTATCCAAAGGGCCGGCCTTGGCGCTCAAGTTCGAAGGAAGCCAAACCCGACGGCGATCAAGTTGGCGGACGGTCGAACGCAACAACTCCTCGATCGCTACATTGAAGTTGTGCCGGTTTATTTCGCACCTCATGCATGCGAACCGGTGACGTTTGACGTCTTAGACACGGACTTTGACATTATTTTGGGGATGCCTTGGCTTGCAAGTGCGGATCACACGGTTAACTTCCATCAGCGGACACTTACCGTTCGCGACGCCTTCAGCGCCGAGGTGCCGTGTACCATTCCTCTTCCTCACTCCTCGATCCGGTGCCAAGTTGTAACGGCCAAGTCTTTTCGGGTCACTTGCGCTTACGAGCGGACCGACGAGATAGGCCTGTGTTTTCTACGAGCCGCCGCGACGACCGAATCTTCACCTACGGACTTGTCTTCGGACCCCAGAGTGGTACGGCTGCTCGACGAGTTCACCGACATCTTCGAGTCTCCTACCAGTGTGGTGCCGGATCGACCGATCTCCCACGAGATCATTCTTGAGGCCGGTGCTGTGCCACCAAAAGGATGCATCTATCGCATGAGCGAGGAAGAGCTCGCGGTTCTCCGTGCACAACTCGATGATCTGTTGGACAAGGGATGGATCCGCCCTAGTAGCTCACCATACGGTGCGCCATTTCTCTTCGTACGGAAGAAGAACAAGGATCTTCGCTTGTGCATCGACCACCGCAAGCTCAACGCACAAACCGTCAAGAATGCGGGACCTCTTCCGCAGATTGACGACCTTCTTGAGCGTTTGGGCGGCGCGAAATTCTTCTCGAAGTTGGACTTGAAGTCGGGCTACCATCAAATCTCGGTACCACCCCCAAGATTGCTACATATCCGCGTTCAAGACACGGTACGGGCATTTTGAGTGGATCGTTATGCCTTTTGGCCTCACCAATGACCCGGCGACCTTTCAAGCGGCAATGACCAACGAGTTCCGTGCGATGTTGGACCGGTTCGTACTAGTCTACTTAGACGACATTCTCGTCTATAGCCGGACATTGGAGGATCATCTTGAGCACCTTCGACGAGTGTTGGAAACGCTCCGCCGCGCCAAGTACAAAGCCAACCGCGACAAGTGCGAATTTATCCGGCAAGAGCTGGAATACTTAGGCCATTTTGTCACACCGGAGGGCATCAGTCCGTTGCCAAACAAGATTCAAGCCATCCAAGAGTGGCCGGAGCCAAAGACCGTCACAAATGTTCGTTCCTTCCTTGGCTTAGCCGGCTACTATCAACGCTTCATCAAGGGATACTCGACGATCGCGGCTCCTTTATCCAAGCTTCAATGCGAGGACCGGCCATTCGACTTCGACGACAATGCGCGAACTTCCTTTTTGGCTCTCAAAGCCGCATTGCTATCCGCGGAAGTGTTGCGCATCTACGATCTGCTTTTGCCGACAGGTGTCACTACTGATGCGTACGGCTATGGCATTGGTGCCGTCCTCGAGCAACATGACGGTGTGGACAAGCACCCGATCGAGTACTTTAGCAAGAAAGTGCCCGCCGTGCACTTGATTGACGACGCACGGAAGAAGGAATTATTGGCCTTCGTACACGCGCTCAAGCGCTGGCTGCATTTTCTTCTCGGTCGACGGCAGTTCTGATGGGTAATGGATAACAATCCATTGGTCTTCTACAAGACCCAAGACACGGTCAATAGCACCATTGCCCGTTGGATGGCTTTCATTGACCAGTTTGACTTTTTCCCCGACCACATCCCGAGCAAGTCAAACCGTTTTGCGGATGCTCTTTCACGGCGTCCGGACCATTTACCGCAGTCTACTCAACTTTTGAGATTAACGACGACTTGCGGGACAGCTTCATCCGCGACTACCAAGTCGACTCCGAGTTTTGCGACAAGTACGCAAATTGCTCCTCTCCTAATCCGGCGCCATCGCACTGTCGGATCCAAGAGGGGTACTTGCTCGTGCACTCGCGAGGGAAGGATCTTCTTTGTGTGCCACGAGATTTACACTCGCGCACACGGCTTCTTGGCGAGTTCCACGACGCTCCCGCCACCGGACACTTTGGAGTCACTCGTACGATTGGCCGACTTCGCGAGCGCTTTTGGTGGTCCGGCCTTCTCGACGACGTCACACGCTATTGTGAGTCATGCGAGGTTTGTCGACGTTGCAAATCCCGCAATCATCGCCCGTACGGCGAGTTGCGACCGTTACCAGTCCCCTTGCGGCGAAGGGAAGTGATTGCCATGGACATTAACGGCCCGTTCCCCAAGCACAAGACCGGAGTGGATGGGATTCTCACGGTGGTCGACCGACTCACCAAGTTCGCCATGCTTTTGCCTTGCCGCTATCATGCCAAGGCACCGGAGTTGGCTGAGGTTCTTTACGCCGGCTGGATTCAAACCAAGGGTTACCCCAAGGAAATCGTTTGCGACCGTGACACTCGGTTCATGTCCGATTTTTGGTTGGCGCTCATCAAACGCTGAGGCTCATCTCTCAAACCAAGTTCGGCTCGCTACCCCCAAACTGATGGCCAAACGGAGAGGGCGCATCACACCGCACAGGTTCTCCTTCGCACTCTCTGTCAAAAAGGGTTGTAGAGGTGTCGGGGGTTATGACCCAAGGAGGATGTCCGACAGAGGGCTTCCCGCGCCAGGGTCAGCCCCACTGGCGGTGCAGCGGGCCCACCCACTACACAGTGGTCTCTCAAGGAAGGAGCACTCAATCCTCGCAACCCACCCGGGAGTATCGGCCCAGACCGACGCTACCAGGCCGCCAGCGGCAGGGGTCACCCCTCCCCTACTCAGGGCTTCACCTCCCTGTGGCTCCACTGTCGGGAGGCTTCCGCACCACAGTCACAGTGGTGCCGCAGGGACGCGCCAGCTCCTGCTAGGGGAGGGGTGACCCCCTCACCCCTCCCGCACACTCCAACTGAGCCTGCCCCTCCCAGAGCCACTTCCCCCCCATGGCCTCGACAACCCCAAGGGGAGGCACACACTCAATCGTTGCGGGGACCCAAGAAGTACGGTTGGGATATCAGCATCCAGTGGGCACCCTTGCAGGTGGCTTCCCAGGCCCAGAGCTGCAGAGCCATGTGTACTTTCGTGCCCCTGGGAGCGCGCGCGCTCAGTGTGTGAGTGGTAGTGCGTCAACCTAACGCCGTGCCGGCGGCATATGCACGAGGTTGCGGATTTGAACCCTCAACCTCAGACCACAATGTGCATTTCCAACCGGTGCCCTAACCACTGGGCCATCCGCCACTCACTCTCCTTCGCACTCTCATCCGTCCCGACCAAAAGGATTGGGTTGAGCGGCTGCCGAATGTCGAGTTGGCATACAACTCGTCCATCCACCCGATTATCGGGATGTCGCCCTTCGAGTTCGAGCACGGCTCGCCGGTCACTTCTCTGTTGGACACAATCATTCCACGAACGGGCGAGAGCGACGATCGTCTTCTTTTCTTGCGACGGATGCAAGAGCTACTTGTCAAGGCACGTGACCAGATGGCCAAGACGCAGCAACGCATGAGCCAACAGGCCAATCGCCAGCGTCTTCCTTGCCCATTCCGCGCCGACGATCTCGTTTGTGTTTCCGTCATGGAATTCAGCCTTGAACAAGATATCTCTCGCAAGCTCCTCCCGAAATGGATGGGGCCTTGGCCGATCGTGGCACCCGCCGGGGATGCACCCGAAAGACCTTCCTTCACCATTCAGGTGCCCGCCCACTTGCCCGTCTACCCGGTCTTTCATTGCTCCAAGTTGGCTCTCTACATGCCAGCGGAACATGACAATTTTCCCGGACGACGATCGCAAGACCCACCCTCTATGGACGACTTTCAAGAGGTCGGCAACATCATCTCCCAGCGACGCTACGGCAACAGGCCAACCGAGTACTTGGTACACTTTGCGTACTGCAGTCACCGAGCTGACCGATGGTTAACCCGTGCGGAACTCCAAGCAACAACTCCGAATGTTCTCGCACGTCAAGATGCAAGGCAAGCCGGTATCTTCGGCTCCACGTCGCACCCGCATCCACGTTCCACCTTCAGATCATCAGCTTCACCCTCGCCTCGGCTTGTACGTATCTGAGTGTACACTGCTCATTGAGATTTCACTTGCACTGCATTGTCCATTCAATCCTTTTCATCACATTGTGGATCCTTGGTTATTATGTACATCGCCCAACTGGGCATGTAACAACGCTGCAGTAGGTATTGAGTGTGTCCTAGTGCAGTCTGTGTACAGTGTTGTAGCTTATGAGTGACAGGGAGGTTCCTGACGAGGACGATAGGATCTTGCGATCAGCTAGACGCCCGTTGGCCCACGTGGCATTAGGACCCGAGGGTGACAGGTTTCTATTCCGCCAGCTTAGGGAAAGACAGCAGCAGCAACGGAGAGCTAGGGCCACAGAGGCAAGCAGGACATTCGCAAGCGAAGCCGCTACTTCAACAGCCATGGCCACAACTGCGCAGCAAAGCTCCCAAGCCAGCACTTCGGGGACTGTAGGGGCGACAATTGCACAGACCCTGAGTCAGTCCGCTGGTGGCATGGCGAGCCAGCATTTATTGCTAACTCCTGAAGAGGTTGCCATACAGAGAGCAAGTGCTCAGGAGGCACAACTACAAAAGGCTTTAGATGAGATACAAGCAGAGAAGGATAGAATGATCAGAAGAAGGACTAGGATGCAGAGGAGACAAGTGGACATTAGGGAGTTAGAGGGGATGAACCTGACTAATATGGATGCCGATGTGAGGGTCGTGAGGACAGCCCTGTTAGATGTAGAGGAGATGCAGGACTACCACACATCTCTCTTGCAGGACATTCAACGAAGCTTGGCTGTGCTGGGCGGGCGTGTTCAAGTAACACCATCACCATCAGGGCCTGGTGCCTGGCCGGTGGTTCAGCCTCCTCCTTTTGTACCACAGGTAACTGTCCCTCCAGCTTAGGTGCAGACTGCTTTCCTAGGTACGCCTTTGATAGGCGGGTTTCCAGCAGGTACTAGTGTACAGGTTCCGGTACAGACAGTGTTCTCCCAACCTCCATTGCAGACTGCCGTAACTGGGCAGCCTGTTGTCTCGCAGTCGGCACAGCTGCAGGGCACACAGCCCCAGCTGGAGCTAGTGCAGCAACGTGCGCCCCAGGGTTCACAACCTGGAGTGGCGCAGGTACCGGGACAAGGTCAGTGGGTTCCGAAGACAGCCATCGCCTCGCCTAAACCCTTTTCAGGGGATAAGAGGGGCGAAGACCTTAACACATGATTGAGGTCAGTGCCAGTCTACGTAAAGCGTAAGTTGACCTTGCCGCAAGAGGAGGTGCTTGTGGCTGCCTCCTACCTTGAGGGGAGCGCAACAAGATGGTTAAGCGGGCTAGTGCAACTACAGGGATACGGTCATGACTTCCGCGCTTGGGCAGTCAACCAGAAACTGGAGGACTTCCTTAAGCTGGTGGAGGAAAGGTGGCATGATCCTCAGGAGGCCCAAAAGGCCACTGACGCGATCCTGACTTTGAGCTCTCGATCGTTCAAGTCAGTAAGGGATGCCACACACGCAGTAGAGCGTCTGATCTGTGTACCTGGAGTGCGTTACGACCCCCAAGTCTTACTGACCACTTACCTGAGGTGTCTTCCCATGCCACTCAGGAATCAGTTGGCGGTTGAGGCGAACATCAATGTGCACAACTTTCCCTCGTTTAGCAAGAAGGCCCTAGACCTGAAGGCAAAGATAGGGCATGGACATCAACCCACGAAGGATGGAAGGAAGAAAGCACTGCCTCCCAATTGGAAGGCGAAGGGTCGCATCATGTTCATCGATAACGATGGTTCTACTATCAAACTAGATGACGACTTCCAGGAGGGAGTAGGTTCAAAGGCAGGCGGCGTAGAGGATTCAGGGGGTGGAGCAGTTGCTGCCTCAGTCCAAAAAGGTAAAGCGATCGGTAGACGCCACGGAGGCTCCCGGTCGAGGATTCAAGTTGACCCTAACGCTCCTCCATGGGAGAAAGCGGGTCTCACAAAGGACGTGTGGAGAGACCGGTACACCCGGCAAGCTTGTATCCGTTATGGCCAATATGGCCATAACCAGTTCAAGTGCCGGAACAAGAAGGTGACTGAAAAAATCCCGCTACAATGGGGCAGGCGATGGGATCCTCCGCTTCCCAGGGTAGTAATGTGGCCAGCAGAGATGGTCCAAGCTACTGACTCCGTTGTCGTCCCGCAAACACATTTGGACCTATCGATCCTCTGTTCGATGAATGTGTTTGAGTCCTTGGAGGAGCTAGAGGAGGAGTGGTCTAGATCAGACCCGCTAGCTTCTTGGACGGCCTTGGTTAAAGCCCCTAAGGGTGAGTTGTTCATCGGCGAGGTAGTCATCGGCGGCCGCAAGGCCAGGGGCTATTATGACACTTGCTCGACGCTGAACTTCATTAGTCGTGCGTGCGTTGAGAGGCTGCGCTTACAGGGGCAAGTGCAGCGCCTGAGTCGACCTGTGGAGTCGACATGTGCCAACAAACAGCGCATGGTAATCAACGACTACCTTAAAGACGTTGAGTGTTGTTTCCCGTACGTGGGAGGGGAACTGAGACATTGTGTCTCGTTCCTAGTTAGTGATGATCTCCCAATGGATATCATGTTAAGTATGTACTATTTTTCGGTTGCACAGCCCCAGTTTGACTGGGACCGAAAAGTGATCAAAC